CTTACGTTGGAGCAAGGCGTTTTGTGGAATGGCGCTTCCCCGGATTGCATCTGGACCCCGAAGCTGGAGAGTATGCTGGTGCGGTCAGTCTAAGTGGGGGAGGGGAATATGGATATGCACTTCCTTCTTTCGACAACGATACAGCTCCTCCACCGACTCCAGAGCTCTTACCACCTTTCGACCAAGCGCAGTCTCAGTCGCAGTCAACTCGACGCTCCACCCAGCCGACTTCCTGGGCCATCGTTCCACCCAACGTCTCACAGTCAGGCCTCACGACAGTGCTCATCGCAAAAGGGCAGACCCTGCTCTCACTCACCCGCTCAGCCGCAGGCCCTTCTTCCATCGAGACCGCATGTCAGGACATGCGCCTCTCTCGCGGTCCCTTCCATGTTGTCCGCCCTTCACCTAACGGCAAGCTTCTGGCTCTCATGACCGCCGACCTTGTCCTCTGGGTCGTCAGCTCCGATTTCTCTCGCAGTCTCAGTGAATTCGAAATTTGTGCCAGTGAAGCGTATCAAGATGCTTCCACCGTCGACGATCCATTCCGCTCTATGAACGGTGGGAGCACATCCGCAGAGACCGGCGCAAGCAAGGGAGGCATTGGAGGTAGTGGTGTTCGCGCTGTTCAGTGGTGTGGTAACAATACCATCGCTCTGGCATTCAACAACGAGGTAGTCATGGTCGGTCCTTTTGGTGAATCAATCCGCTATCCTTACTCCGGCCCAACTCATCTGGTCAGCGAAATTGATGGTCTTCGTATCGTCGCCGCAGATAGACACGAGTTCCTTCAAAAGGTCTCCGACGCGTCCAGCCGTGTCTTCCGGCCTGGCTCCAACGATCCGGCGGCTTTGCTCTTTGAAGCAGCTGAACAGTTCAGTGCAAAGAGCAGCAGGGCAGACGAGGGGATACGTGCCATCAGGAGCAGCTTGCCGGATGCAGTTGATTGTTGTCTTCGAGCCGCCGCCTATGAGTGGGACCTCTCTTGGCAGAAGCGTCTCTTGAAAGCTGCATCCTTCGGCAAGAGCTTCATCGAGTTGTACGATTCAACCGCCTTCGTGGACATGGCTCGGACGATGCGTGTGCTGAATGCAGCGCGCAATTATCAGATCGGCTTTCCTATATCATACGAGCAGTACATCGCTGCAGGACCAACAGCACTGCTCTCACGGCTCACGGCTCACAATCATCACTTCCTGTCGCTCAAGATCGCTCGCTTCCTTCATATCAGGCCCGATCCGATCCTCAAGCATTGGGCCAGAGCCAAAATCGCAAGGACGAGGCCTCCACTCGGCGGTTCAGCGTCAGCCATCTCGGCCGCTGAGGAACAATTGTGTGAAGATATCGTGCACAAGTTTCGCATTGCGACAACCCTCAACGAGCATGTTGGCGAGCTCGGTGCTCCCGAAGATGATCACGTTCCACCTGGCCAGTCTCTGTCGGCAACGGAACCTGCTGCATCCTCCAATGGGACGAGCCCTTCGTCCCGAGACCGCGGCGCATCTGTGAGTTTTGCTGAAGTTGCCTGGACTGCTTGGAAGGCAGGAAGAGGAAATCTTGCCACCCGCTTACTCGATCACGAGGCTCGTGCCATCGACCAAGTACCGTTGCTGCTCAACATGCGCGAGGACAAGCTCGCTCTTGTCAAAGCGATCGAGTCCGGAGACACCGACCTGATCTATCATGTCTTGCTACGCCTCAAAAGCCAGCTGTCCCGTGGTGACTTCTTCCGAATCGTTCAAGCGCCCGTTTCCGATGCGATGCTACCACCTCAGGGACAGACGAGTAATAACCGCTCGCGATCCACAGTCAAGTTGGCTTCTGCACGCCAATACCTCTCGTTGGCATCCAACTTGCTCGAAGCATATGCCAAAGAGGTGGACCGTGACCTGCTGAAGGACTTCTACTACCAGGATGACCGAAGAACCGACTCGGCCATCATCGCCCTCGAGGAAGCCAACGCGATGCAGAACGTCTCCGAAAGCGAGCTGCCAGACAAGATCTTCAAGCTCAAGACTGCGATGAAGTTTTTTGGAGAGGATAAAGAGAGGGTTCTCGAGGCCAAGGTATGTTCTGAGTTTGGATCCAGAATCGAAAGAAGCGTGGTGCTAACCATATTGATACATTCTGTCTGCCTTGGATCTGTGATGCTCGCAGCTCGTGGACGAACAGATTCGTTTGCTGGCGTTCCAGCAAGCGCTCGAAAAAGAAGATGGACATCGCAGCCAGTACACTGGTCTGTCATTAAATGAGACGATCCGTCAACTTCTCTTCCGCAACATGTCAAAGAAGGCAGAAAAGCTACGGTCCGACTTCAAAGTGCCAGACAAGCGATACTGGAACATCAAGCTGGACACCCTCATCCAAAGCAAGGACTGGGACGGGTTGTGGACCTTCGGTAAGTTGAACTCCAGACCTCGCCTTCTGTTCAAATTGAAACGAACGCTGATTCTTTCGGCTCTCCTTCTCTCGTCATCACAGCCAATTCGAAGCGATCGCCAATCGGTTACACGCCTTTCATCGTCAAACTTGTTGAACAGAATCACGTCCAAGAGTCGATGCGATTCGTGCCCAAGATACAGGACAAGACCGACCGCAACGCTTTCACCGCATACTTGTCGAGGCTACCAAGCCAGGTCATTGCGAATCAGCTGTCAGATCGCTTCAACGAGTAATACTCACGTACAGTACAACATCATTGAAGCCCAGAGGCTCCCGAGCCTTTCTCGTTTAGTAGCCACCACGGGCGGCGATACCAGGAGCATACATTCGCATCATCATCATTAGTATTTCTATCTGCAAAGTAAAAATACGATCATGATGTTGTTCTATGCTGTCTATAGAGCGGGGTATCTAAGTGGAACAGAAATTCCTTCACTGACCGACTACGGACGACCCCTTCGTCGTGAGACAAGCATCGCAACGCAATGTACTTGCAGGGTTGCGGAGCGTGCACACTTGACAGGACCATTCCTGTGCAGGAGATGTAGATGGCGATGGCCGTGATGGTGGTTTCGGTTGCGGCGCTCGTGCTGGCGTGTCTTCTTCATCAGATGAGAGTACCTCGATCGGCTCAGTCCTCGAGCTGTACACCGACTTGCCTGCAGGAGGTTTGGGGCCTTGTGCTGTTGAGCTGGTGCCCGGGAGGGTAGCAATCGAGCAGAAATCTTGCCAATCTTCGTTAGTAGAGTGCATCCTGCCGCCTTGCTTGAGTTCGTGTTGTCGATACAACTGTGATCGGTCAAGTCGCTGCTGCTCACTTTCTCGACTGGCGATGGTGGATGGCTCTTGCGGATCTTTCTTCTCTTTGACCTTGACGAAATCGTTATGCTTTGTGTTGCTAGTAGACCGTGAAAGTCTTGAGCTCTCTTTCCTTTCGGCCTCGTCTGCTGACGAGTCATCGAGTCGAATGACAAATCCGCCATCCTTGCTGTCTTCTTCGTCTTCCGCCTCGCTTTCGGACTCCATCAGGTCCTCTTCTTTGAGCTTTTCTGTACCCTCGGAAGTCGGTGTGGAGCTTCCAGAGCCCGCTTGTCTATCGTCCCATTCTTCCGGCCAAGAAGCAGTCTGTCCTTCGCCGGCTTCGTTCTGTACTGCTTCAACTTTGACAGCGTTGAGACGCCGTATAGCCGCTTGAGCTCGGAGTTCGCGAGCTGTTGCTGTCTGGGTACGCTTTCGGAAGGTCGAATTGCTGTCTTCTTTGTAGGACGAGTTGAAGGCTGTAGCCTTCGGCAAATGATCGCTGCCATCGAGCCTTGAGCCTTGACCTGGGAGCGTGGTCTGCACACGCCTGCCCCCCCTCGTGTTGGGCGCTGTCTGAGCTCCAGTGTGTAGACTTGGTCCTCGGAAGCCTCTCTTGCGAGAGCGGCTTGCAGCCGTACGACGTCGTTTCCTCGACCGGCTTTTGCTCGGCTTGCTCTTGAAGGCACCGCCGCAAGAGTACTCTGGCAGACCTTGCAGCGAGTTCATGCCAGTGCCAGCGACAAAAGCATTGTCCTCCAGACGTTGACCCGCGGACCAGAATCCATCGCCGTAGTAGCCCCGACTCTGAAGCTCGCGGCATTCATTCCGTAGCTCTGTGTCAAGCTTTCCGTGCTGTGAGGGGATGTGATTCATGTACTTGATGTGGGCCAGCTCGTGGCAGAACACCATCAAGACCCATTGTAGAGGTGCGAAGCTTCCGTCTTGACGTCTGAGCACGAGCTCAACGGTTTCGCCATTGTTCCAGTTGCGTCCAGCGAACTCGCGGTTCGATTCGAATTCTTCGAGAGAGTTGATCTGGAAGCCGTGCTTCTTCATGACAGGCTGGACTTGAGCTGCCAGCTGCAGCAGCCTATGTCGTGCCTGCTCGCAGTCCGCATACTGAGGTAGAGCGGTTATATAGTTGATATACCTATTACGAGATGTATCGGGGTGGTTGAGTCGAAGGTGTACCATGATGGTGGCCGCCGAAGCAGCCACGAAGCTCGTTGTCAACCCTCTCACCGTGAGGCTGAGTTCGTGGCTGATGTGGAGGAAAATCGAGGGTCGTCCCGATGCTGATCAGGTGTCGCATAGAATTATTGCGAATTTAACGACGCGATCTGTTGGAACGAGTGGCAGACTTGAATCGTAGGACACAATTATTACGTATGTCAACGATGAACTGTATATACAGATGGATAGATGCTTAACGGAGAACGAACTAGCTGAATCTGGTGCTTTTATACGTCTTACCCTGTGGATGATTCAGTAGCATCTTGAGGCGAAAGATGAGTCTGAAACATAACGAGGCAGTGTAAGAGGGCTTGCAGCGATAAAGCTCAAGCCCTCATCTCCTCTTGGCCCTTATCTTTCCCTAATAAGGTGATCAGACACGCCGAGGTCTTCGGCCTGATACGAGTCCATACAGGCACAGCCCTCCTACACGATCAACGTTACACAAGATTGCGTTCAGAACACCATATCTCGGCCATTCCTTCATACTGTGTCTTCTTGCTTTAAGAGTGCAAAAAAACAGTTCGCGGTGCCTACAAGATTTGAACTTGTGCGCTCAGAGAGCATTAGTTATCCAGCGTTATAAACGCCTTGAAACGATTGAATTTCAAGACTAACCCCTTAACCACTCGGGCAAGACACCCAATATATATGGACTGAATTTCCTATTGTGATCATATCCTATACACGAAAAAATTATGCCAAAACCCGAAGCTCAGTGGCGTCTTGCAATTGCATCCCGTCTCATGACATTGCTGTCAATTCCATGGCGATTCATTGCTGATGCATAACATGAAAGTAGGATACAATTAAATGTAGGGATGATGTCTTCGTTGCTGATGAGCCTCGTCAGGGTGACTCTGTAGGGGGTGCGACGTTGCAGGATTGCCATCACCGATCGGAGTTTCAGCTGCTGGAGCTGTGGAAGATCCGACTCGGTTCCTCATCCCGTTGGCTATGTTCAGCTCAGCCCGCAAAGCCTCCAGACTAGCTTGCTTAGCGCCTGGAGACTCCTCCCGCTCCCGTACGATCTCCTCCGGACTCTTGCCAGAAGCTTTGGCAGCAGCTTCAGCCTCTTGTAGCTTGCGCTTTGTCAATTTGGCATAGAGCAGACCACAGGCGTTGCAGAGTGTCCGAGGACCCATGGGACCTTTCCGCCACTCTGGAGTTTCCTTGGCTTGGCAACCGAGGCACTCCTGATGGTGTTCGTCCTTGCGCTTCCTGACTCTTTTCATCCCTTTACCAGCAAGACGTCTTCGATCGAGCAGATCCATCTGTTGTTGTTGTTGTCGACTGTCTGGATGACAGAAAGGCGGTAGACCGCCGGATCCGTACGGAGGTTGCATTGGTTGGTCATAAGGCGTTCTTGTGCTGCTACCGAAACGTGGCAACTCTGTGGTAGTGCGCTGGTAGTGATGAGGGTGTTGTTGATCTTGGTGGACAGATTGAGGATGCTCGAATGAGGTAGCACGAGAAAGAGCGCGGAACCGAGGCTCGCCCCGTGTCGGATGCATAGCATAAGCACTGGGTACACCAGGAGTGAAGCCACCTTGATCTGTTTCGTAGTTTGTCTCCATCGCCTCGCTATACGAGTCGTATTCGTACTCGGAAGGGCGCGGCTCTTCCAGACTCAACCTTCCCATTGAAGACTGTGCTCTCTCGGCATAGTCGCTTGGCGGCCGCATTGGGTAGCCCGCTTGGCCCGAAGAGAGTGTTGAAGAGGTTGAACAGCGTGGTGCAAATGACGAAGATTCGGGTGCTCTCGCCGGATTGTCGTCAGCAGTTATGCCTAGAAGTCTTGCAACGGATTCAGCGCGAGCGTGAGAAAAGCGCGCCATGGTGCTGAGCTCTTCCTGGATCTTTCTGCGAAGCAAGTCGGCGGCACCGGGATTACGAAAGATGGATGGCGATGCTGGACATCCGGTATGGAGACCAAGCCGCCGATTGATGTCCTGGACGTAGATGAGGCTTTCAAGCAAGCGATCGATCTCCGAAGTATCGGCAAGGGAGGACCTTCTTGTCGGATGGGGCATAGGATACCTGTGAGGCGATGAGTAGGAACGCGGCCTAGTCGACTCGACAACAGAACGCATAGCCGTCCGACGCAACATTGGCGAGATCGACGGATTTGACGCTGCTGGAACGCTGTGTTGCACAGGTGGAAACGTTGCTATGCTTTCCGGTGGATGTCTGGCAACACTGCGATCCATGGACCAGCGGCGATCGTTGGAGACCGAAAGTGCTCTAGATCCATCCCTAAACGATGACGAGGACATCGGCGGGTCGTGCAAACGCATGGCATCGCTTCGTTCGATAAGGCTATCCCGGCGACCGGATGGTCTTTCATGCCTGCGATCCATGTCGATGGAGGTGGTGAGAGAAGAGAGGGGAGGCAGCGTGACCTTGGCCTGCCTATGACGATCGTCCATGATTTCGTAAGCGTTCAGAGACGTGAAAAGGAGGACAAGGCAAATGTCGCTATGAGAGGTCTTCCAGCTTGTGAGAAATAAGACGAGAGGTAGCTGTCATTTGAAGAACTTCTGTGACAAGATGTTGGGATTATTTAGCGTGAGAGGGAGTACGAAGCCTGATTGCTATGTGAGCGGACTCATCTGCGCCCGCTCAGAGGATATACGAATGCGGTGTGTAGTTGCGTTCGGCTGAGGTGGTTCTCGCCTCTAGATGATTGGTGCGCAGATTGTGTCTGATGGAAAGCGAAACAGAAGCTCGCAAAGCAAATGATCGCTGCTAGGCTCGTCGTGATGGAGACAGGGAGATCCAACGCGGACGACGACGATAACCACTGTCAGCCCGAACCCATGAACGCGAACAACAGAGTATCTTCTGACCTGTTGCCCTTCAGTCGGACTGTGCTAATGCAGAAGCTTGGGATGAGATCCGACCTGTTGCGCGAGTGTGTGCTTATCAAGGGATGGCTGTGGTGTTGGCGACGAGCGGAACTCTGGCGTGTAAGGTAGAGTGATTTAGCTGTGGTCGGATAGTGCGATGGTCGCGAAAAGCTGTACAAGTATATTGACAGCTAGGAGCCCACACGAGGTCAGACCGGTAAAGACGGTATAGCACGAGCTACACCTTGGGGCAGGACAGCGGATAGGAATGGTCGCCAAAAGCAAGCGAGTTGTGTCGAGGACGGAAAAGTGAGCTTTCAGATGGAGATATTTAGGTATGCCGAGTCGCTTGTTGCGAATGGCACAAAGCGCCTAAGATGCGTCCTGACCTGGTCTAATGTTGCTGAGCTGCGGCGGAAAGGTGAGATGGGAGCGACAGGCGAGCAGCGCTTGCGGAGATCTCGGTTCAGTGGTCAGTGAAATGCAGTGACGAGCCAAAATGCTGGTCTCTCTGCCTGCAGAATCAAGATTCCGAGGCTAACGGGGCCCACTGTTTAGGACAGGAACAGAGGTGGTTAGATCAAGGGTTCTGCGGAAGCGACGCTTGGGTAGCGACCGGTCTGGGCGTAGAGGGAAGCAAGAGGGTCGGAACGTGGGTGATGGTGAGACGCGAGGAAGTGTAATCCGGAAAGATGACAAGCAAGTTGATGGGAGCGAGATCGAAGGAGCGTAGTGCTGGATTGGTGCACGAGACCGGAAAGGAAGGAGAAGAGCGGCATGAAGAGGTTTAGTTGACACGATATCCGAATCAGCACAGATGGGCTCGGTCCTGCAGGATGCATGTAGGTGCAGAAGGCCGATCGACAGTCAGCATACAGCACACTCAGCCGGTCTGTTGCTTCTTTCGGACCAGATGATCTGAGTCGATACATCAAGTGTGAAGACCAGCAGGACTAGGAGATAGGATGCCAGTCGTCCACATGTCAAGCGCGCTTACAGCCCAGAAAACAAAGGTCTTCTTTTGGCATCATTGTTGACAAATAAGCCGGCAGGAGGAGGCAGACAATACTGGACGGGCTCGGTCACTTGAGCGGCATTGCCCAGAGCAGCTTTTCAACGGAAACCATCTCTGGGTATGGCTTTCCATGCCTCACACCAAGTCAAGGCCGCACGCTAGGAAGCGGACCGCGATCCACGTCTCGATCCCAGCTTCGCCCATGCCCGGCTTGCCAGGCCGGCATCTGGACGCTGCCTCAGACCTATGTTATGTAAACCCTGGGAATACAGACGTTTCGAATGGAGGGGATGCAACAAAGCTTCATATGGGGTCGCAGCAATGCATCTGGCTGAGTGTGGAAGTGCGACAACACGTGACGCATATTTCATCCTCACTTGCACAAGCCAAAGCGGAGCGACAAAAAGAGAGACCGAACAAACCGGATCATTACTTAGCAGCCAGATTGTGGGATCGAAGATCTCAAGTCTTGTAGAACCTGTTGCTGCTGCTGAGACCGCCGCTGAGTTGAATGAAGGTATGCTTCTTGGGCGGGGCGGGCCTTGATCTGCTCAAACCCAGCTTCGGTGCCACAATTTTCTCTCAGTCGGAGCGTCAAATGCGAACAAAAGAGAAGGTTACCACTTTGGGCTTGTTATGTCCTCTATCCAGCGACTCACTTCGCAAGGGTTGCACAGCGACTTGGGCTGTTTTTAGGTTGACATGGATTGCACAAGGGTGCAGCCTCGTCGAACGGAGTCGGAAACTTGTTTGCAGAACGATGGATTCTCCTCTCTAGGCAACAACCGGATCTGCACAAAGTATGCTATATCTCGTCACTGTGTGCTGCCTCACCTCTTCCCTCACAACAAGTATCCCGACGGAATTGCATACCTACTCAGACCAACCTCCCGACTTGATTCGATTGAGAGGTCGACTGGTTTGCATCAGCTTCACGAAGGTACACCCGCGAATAGCGAAGAGCGAAGAGGATGCATCTTGCACGAGATGGAACAGATCTTAGCGAACCAGCGCTGTGTCAGCCCATGCTCGCGTAACTCGGGCTCTGCTCGTCTCGTTTTGGCTTGTCCGAACTGGTATTCTTGATCAGCTCGCTTTGAAGAACATTGCAGCACTCCAAAATTGGAGCTATGTGTGCTATGTTTCTGTGGCTTTCTTGCCGATAGCCCCTTGCCAAGTATCGACAGCGACCTGGCTGCACATCCTACGAACAGGAGAGACTTGGATCGCCAGCCGTCCAAGTCAAGATGGCCCCTTCTGTCAAGGTCGCATTCAGAGGAACGGCGCAATGGACGATCCTCACATGGACAATGCCAACGTCTGCCGGCTTTCCGCGTGTCGGGTGCACAACAAGAATCGTTTCCGCTAAGCGAGCTCGGCGCGTGAGCAATCTGTAAAAGAACAACAGTTGAACGCCGTTCCTTCGGTCCTTCAGCCCGGGAAGAACTTTTGGCGAGGTCAATTCCAGAGAGCGTTCGATTCGCTTGTTCAGTTCGGTATGAAGCTCGCTTAGGTCTCTTCCTTGCCACCCTCTCTTGCACAAGCGAAGTGGCGAGATTGCGGAGAGCAGATGCTGGTACCCTGCTTGCAGGTTCACACAAGGTGTATAGCCGTGTGAAACGAACAAGGTTACGTGATGCGATCCATCCGTGACGTCCGCCACGTCCAGCATAATCTTCAAGGACAGAGGCGCTGCTGTATGGCATTTCCTGTACCCTCGCCGAGCTTACGTTGCCCGAACAGCCGAGCACCAGGACGCCACTTTCAAATCAGAGCATC